CCACAGCCACCCCCAGGGGGGCACACAGGAGGCCAAGGCCTGGATCTGTGCCCAGGAGCTGTTACCTCCTCCTTGGCCAACTCCAGCTGCTCCTCCAGCAGCTCATTGCGCTCGGTCAGGCTCCGGTTCTGCTTCAGCAGGGACTGCCCGATGCGCGCCGCCAGCTCCAGGTCCCGCTCCTTCTGCAAGGAGCAGATCTGCCTCAGCCAGGACTCATCCCTTCCCCAGTCCTCACCCACCCCTGTGTCTCCAGGATCCCAACGGCCCTCACACGGGTGGGGGGATCCAACGTACCTCATCCAGCAGGTTGGTGACGGCGTCAATGTCGTGGTAGGTCTTGGTGATCCTGACCACCCGCTCAGCACACAGGACTGGGGGAGAGGCAAAAAGGTGAACCCCTACACTGGCTCAGGGGCTCAGCACTGTCCCCCCACTGCCCCCCACTCCATGTCACCGCTGTCCCCAGAGCTGCATGGTGAAGGGAACAGGAGGGAGGCAGCACAGGGCTGCTCCAGGCTGGCCACCAAAAAGGACCTTTTATCTGCTGAGCAGCACCCAGCACGGTGCTGGGCAGAGGTGGGTGGGGATCCCCACAGCCATGCCAGCATCCTGGGAAATGGGGGGCTCACAGCTCACCCCCAACCCTGACTGTACCTCAGCGTGGCAAGGAAAGTGCCAAGACCCCATCACCCCAGCACGGGCACAGTGCCAGCCCCACTGCTGGATGCACGGATGGGAAGGAGGGACAGGGAAAGGCCAGCAGTGGAGATGGGATTGAAGGTGACATTTCCAGCAGAAAGCAGGCTGGAGCTCCAGTGTAAATAGCTGTGGGTGGCACTGCACCGAGCCGGGCTCACAGGCAGCGTCCCCTCCAATCTGTCCCCAGCCCCCTCCCCCAGTTCCCCCCCCCCCCGAGAAGCCAGCCCTGCCCTAGTTTCTCTCTGGGGGAGGGGATGCTGCACCCCGCACCCACCCGCTGCCCCTCCAGCTGCACAACACAACGATCCACTCAGCAACAGGGGCAGAGGCAGCTGCGGGCAGCACGCTGTGGGAACAGGCAGCTGCCCCCAACGCCAGCACCACCACACTGAAATGGGCCCTAGCTATGGCCCTGCCTCCCCTGGCCACTGCCTGGCTCTCTGGCAGGGAGAGGAGGCACAAGGATGGAGATGTCTGCCTCCCCAGTACCAATCCTGCCAACTGTGCCCGCAGGCGCTGCCAGACAGTGCCGGGCACATGCCCAGATGGCAGCACTGGAGCTGTGTGGTGAGAGGGAACCGGGAGCCTGTGCCCCAGACCCTGCTTACACCCTGAGACCTGCCTGTACCCCACCCCCTGCCCATACCACATGGCACTCCTGATGCTCTGCTGCCCCAAGGGTCCGTGCCTCAGTTTCCCCTGGCAGAGCAGCAGCACTGGCTGCACTCAGGGCCTCCACCCACGTCCCCAGTCCCAGCCACTCCCCAGTCCTGCAGACGAAGTGGGTTAACGGGGAGGCTCAGCCACACAAATCCCATTAGGCTGCCCCAGCTGGGGTTGTGTAATGGTGAGTGTGTTGTCATGGCAATGCCCCCACTCGCCACCCCAGTCCCGTCCAGTCCCCACTGCCCTGGGTGCTGCCCCACGCCCCAGTGGGCAAGTACCCCAAACACGTCTACAGGAAGAGGGGCCAACCCCAGCCCCAACCTCAACCCCCTCTACACACCCCAGCAGGGCCCGCTCCCCGCGGGGGTCCCCAACTGCACCTCGTCAGGCCCCTGAGCCATTAATTGGAAATAATTGGAGCATGAGCATCGTTACGGTTGGAGCGAGTGGCTGGCCCTGGGAGACGGGGGCTGCAGCGCTGGCAAACATGTAAACACCCATCTGCAGGCCCGATCCGGCGGGAGGGGGGAGGGACCCCCATCCCCACGGGCACACGCAGACCCTGTCCCTCCACCCGCTCCCCGCCGCTCTCGGCGAGGGGACAGGTCTCCTTAGGATCGGGCTGAACCTGGAGGTCCCCAAGGGACCGGGCGGCGGCTGCCCCGGGCCGGAACGCGGCGAGCAGGACCGGGCTGCGGGAACGCAGGGGCTGGGAGGGGACGGCACCGCCCGGGGGGAGATCCCAGCCGGGCTCACGGCTCCCAACTAGCCCCGGTCCCGGTGGAGACCCTGGCCCTGATGCTCCAAAGCAGCCCCGGTCCCGGAGGAGATCCCGGCCCCGCTGCTGCGGACCAGCCCCGGGGGAGCCCGGCCCCGCTGCAACCGCATCCCCATCCCCATCGCCGGGGCGGGACCGCCCGGGCCGCCCTCACCTTCCTCCAGCTCCCGGGCGATGGGGTCGGCGTCACCGCCGCGCTCCGCGTTCCCGTTTAACTCGTCGTAGGCGGCGGGGCTGCTCCAGATCTCCATCGTGCCGAGCCCACCCAGCCGTGCCCAGCCGAGCCGAGTCGCGCCGCGCCGAGCGGAGCCGCTGCAGCCTCTCCCTCCCCTATTTATAGGGTCGCTCCGTCCGCTCGCACCTGCCCGGCGCGTCCCCCGGTGGCGGGGCCGGGGCTGGGGCCGGACCGGGCGGGGGCGGGGCCGGGCGAGGGCCACGGGGGTGTCAGGGGCTGGTCGGGAGCGCCCACTCCCCCCACTCCCGCGTGCCACCTCGGGCACACGGTCTCCGTCACACATCCCAGGACCGGGGTCCCCACTGGGGCACCCACCGGGACAGCCCTGCTCAGCCCCGGGGGGCTGGTGCAGTTTGGCTCTGTGTCCCACCTCTGGACACACGGGTCCCCAAGGGTGATGAACGCGGAGGGGACACAGGGGGTCCCCAAGCAGCACCTCCACAGGGCTGACCCCAAGGGTTATGCACAGACAGTGGTTTCTGCCCCCTGGGAAGGACAGGGAGTAGTTCTGGGCCCTGTGAGGATCAGGGTCTGCTTTTTCCAGCCAGCCCTGCTCTGCCACCCCAGGCCTGGTCCCCCCATCATCACCCACACAGCCATCACACACCCTGCACACGCAATGCCCTGTACGGTGCTGGGACCCGCCAAGTCCCTGAGGTGGTAAAGCTTTTCCAGGAGCTTTTCCATCCCCCTCAGCACCCCTTGGCCCTGAGCATGGGCTGGCACGAGCCTGGCCCCTTCCATGCCCCATCCAGGCTCCCTGTGCCCCCTGGCTGGCACCCTCAGCTCCCCACAACCACTCTGGTGCAGAGGCAGCCCGGAAGCAGGAAAGCTGAATAAATCATGGTGTGCTGAATTATGGAGGAGCTGGCTGGCACGTAGCACAAAGCCGCGTGGGCACGATGCTGGTAATGCCAAGGCATGCTCTGCCTGCCCCCCTCACCTGCCCCAGTGCCCTTCCTCGTCAGCACCCAAATAGTGGATGAGTGGACGTGGCTGGAGCTGACCCTCACACGACGCCTTCCTTTGCCTGCTGGACTCACACCCACTGGAATCCTGACACCGACCATGTCCTGCCATAACCACTCCCGGAGCAGGGGCTGGAGCAGGTGCCTTCAGTCCCAGCCTCTCCTTCCTCCTGGCACTGGTGTTTAGCTCAGTGAGGTGAGGGACACAGCCAGAACTGGGCACCCACCCCCCAAGGGACCCCAAGGACTTGAGCACACGTCTCTGCGTGGACAGGCAAGAGCTGCTTCTCCCTAATCCCCTGCCCCAGGATTTGCTCCTCCGGGCAGGTTCCCCCGTGTCTGCTCAAGCAGATTACAGGGGGCTATTTCTGATGGCAGCTTAAAGGTTTGGGTGAAGGGATGACGCCATGGGCCCCTCCACACCCACACGTGCCAGCGGCACGGGGGGGAACTGTGACCTGCAGGGGTTGGGCACTGAGAGCAGCTGTCCCCATGGAGGGGGGTGCCAGGGTCCTGCAGAGCGGGGTGCTCCCTGCCCTGTGGCACAGGGATGGGGCTTGGGGCTCAATCCCTTGTCCTGTCACTGCAGGGTCAGGGGTGCTGATGGCTGGGGGGCTGCACCCCACTGCCTGCTGAACAGAGGGACAAGCAGCCAGGTGGGGAAGGCTGCAAGCACAGGCAGGGCATGGAGAGGGCTCGCCCCCGGCCCAGCCTGGCGTGGGCAGGGGGTTGGGAGCCTCAGCCCCATCTGTTTCCTGCTGCCCCACATCCATCCCCCCCAGCCCCTCGCTCTAATCCTGTCCCTGTCACATGCAGGCCAGAGGCAGAAACAAAGCAGAGATAATCCATCTGTGCTGAACCCCTGCTGAACCCCAACCCCACGCCAGGAACAGGGCCCTGTCACAGCACCATGAGCATTGTCCCTGCCCAGCCATGGGGGGCTGGGGGGGGTCTCCCCCCAGGCATCCACATCCCATGGCTCTGGGGACTTTGCACCCCTGCAACACCTGTCAGGCTGTCCTGTTTTTGGGGACAGCAGCACTGGGATTCACTGGCACACCCTCTGCCAACCCCACCAGTGTCCCACCCCCGCAAGCCACGGCACAGTGCAGGGGAGCAGGGACGTGCAGGGGGACCCGGGAGCAGGCAGAGGCTCTTTCCCAGCATCCGGCTCGGCTCAGCAGAAGCTGCTCTCAGAATTAGCTGGGGATGTTCCGGGTAAGGAAATCCAGCCCGCCAATCCCGTTAGCAGTGATTAGCTCCGGGGCTGCCCTCGCCGTCCCGACCCCGCACAGCTGCCGCGGCCCGTGCCCCGCTGCCCTTGCCAGCCCCGCCGCCCTCACCAGCCCACGGGCACTCACGGAAATACTGCAGGGTCTCCTCGATCTGCTGGGGGGTGAGGGGGGCCGCTGGCTGCGGGGGGCCGGGGGGGGCTCGCAGCCAGTCACCATGGTCGTAGCCAAAGACGGTGTCGGCCCGCAGCGTGTAGCGGGGCAGCTGCTCGCCCAGCAGGCTGATGATCTCCACCTCGGGGACGTCCCCGCTGCACAGCTCTGGGGACAGGGGGGAACGGTGTCAGCCCAGGGTGGTGGGCACATGTGGGGGCCTTGGCAGGGGAGCACTGCCCACCACCCCTCAGCCCCCTCTGTCCTCTCTGGGGGTCTGGGGCTGGTGCCACCGGATGGATCTGCCCCCAAAGCCGCTCTTGTGTGGGGACTGGGGGATCCCCGCAGTGTGGCACAGAGGGATTCCCCCTCCAAGCTCTGCCCTGCTCCCCCCTCAGCCCCCTCCACTGTCTGTGGGCAGGGTCCTACTGCCATCTCCTGGCCACGCTCTGCCCGGCTGAGCGGTGCTGGGGACAGGGGCATGGTGTGGGGTGAAGGATGCTGGGACAGTGACTCAGCCCCAGCCCCAGGATGGGGACAGAATGCAGGACCAGCCTGGAGTTGCCCCAGCTCTTCCCACCCCCCATCCCGGTTCCCCCAGGCCACCCAGTGGCCCTGTCCATCCCTACCCACCGGTGATGGTTGCGGCATCGCGGCGTGTGGCTGTGTCTGACCCGTGGGACGCCGGGTCAGTGTGGGGACAGGCGGTGACACCTGAGTCCGGGCTGGGCTGAAGGCAGCAGGAGGGTGGGCTCTGGCTGGGGGGATTCTCTCGTGGGACCACGGTGTCCAGTTTGGCTGGCGTTACGTGGGGGCCCGGCTGCCATGGGGAGGGGCACCTTCCACCCTGCCTCCCTGGAGCGGTGCTGGTGGGCAGCAGATTCCCTTCTCCAGGCCCTGCCTGGGGAGAAGGAGCTGTTCAGGTGATGCTCTAGGGAGCAGGGACATACCCTGTGCCTCCATGTCCCCCAGCATCCTCCCATGGGGCAAACACCCTCCCCGGGGCAACACCTGCCAGGCAAGGGGATGGTGAGGACCTGGATGGAATAGCCAGGGCTCAGGTGTTCCTCCCCCCTGCCACTGGGACAGGGGGGCTGTGGGAATGCACCCCAGCTCAGCAGCCACCCCAAACGTGGGGCGGGTTTGGGGGTGGTGAGGGGTCAGTGTACCTGCTCTGTGGCGGCTGCTGTGACGTGGGGGGCTCAGCACCAAAGCAGAGACTCGGTAATTTCTGGATCAGCACCAGGGCCAGACAGGGCAGAGGATGCTCTGAAGGGACGGGGCAGGACCCTGCTCCCCTCGAGGTCCCCGCTGGGTCCCTGCCTGTGGAGCGAGCAGGGAAGGAGCCGTCGAGCTTCCTGGCAGTAGGCAAACACACCTGCAGTGCCAGTAAGAGCCCTTGGGAGCTCCACCTTGGAGAGCAAAGTCCGTCTGTGATCCTCTGTAGGCGCCAGGATGCAGAGCAGGGACCTGCCGTGCCACCCAGGGCAGGGCTGGGCAGCATCTGTGGCTGTCCCATCCCAATCATAAACACATCATGAGACAGGCCATAAAACCAGCATATTCTTGCTCTCCTGCTACCTCCAGCAGTCCTGATTTGGGCTGCAGCCACTGCTGGCTCTGGGGGGCAGGAGCCCCTTGTGCAAGCTCCCTGCCCCATCTCCACCCCTGCTCCCACCTCCACCCCGGTGGGGGCTGTGGCACCAGCAGCCCCTCATCCCCGTCCACAGGCTCATGCCAGGGCATCGCTGCCCTCCCTCCTGATGCATGCTCAGGGTCGCTGCCACATCCACAGCACCCAGGCCAGGCTGCCCTGCACCCCCCTGGCACACAGGCCGGGCAAGAGGCAACATGCACTCTCCAAAACACACCCACAGCCCCCCTAGTCCTCTGCCCTATGGCACTGGGACCAGCAGACCTCAGGGCCCCATCCTGCACCGTGCTGCCCAGAGAACAGCTCCCAGCCCCAGCCCCCCAGCCCCTCTTCTCCCCGGGGAAGGGCAGGGACCCACCGTACCGAGGTGCCGCTCTGCGCTGGCTCCAGGGAGGGAGCCCGGCCGGTGAGTCAGCTCAGCCGGGATTGCCAGAGCCCTGCGTCGGATTTTGGCCCAGCTCCTGCACGTACATTCACTCTCCCCAGGGGAACCTTGTCCAGACACGTGCGAGCAGCTCCCATCGACCCCCCGCTCCCATCGAGCGGCGTTCCCATCGCCCTCGGACCCCGCTGTCCCCACGCCATCAGCGTTCGGGACCTGCCCCACGGGAGCCGGGCGAGGGCAGGACGTTGGTCCCGGTGGGACACTGGGCCAGGAGGAGGGAGGTCCCGGCTCATCCCGCCGCGGGTACCTGTACAGACCCGTGCCCGCTGCTCCCTGCCCTGCCCCGCGGCTCCTCCCCGGGCATCTCCCGAGGGGAAGCCGAGCGCCGGGAACGGACGAGACGAGGCAAATTCTCCAGGGCCTCGCCCACGAGGGCCGCCCAGGGTCTTGGGGTGCCCGAAGGCAGCCTGGGGGAATGCGGGACACCGGGAGAGCCGAGGGCTCGGTGCGCCGGGGGGCGCCGGGTCCGGGTACCACGAGGGGTCCCGGGGCGCACTCACCGCTGGGCGCTGCTCCCGGCGCAGCGGGGCCCTCGGACATCACTGCCGAGCCCCGCCGGTAAAGAAGCCGCTCCCCGGCAGGTGAGGAGCGCGGCCGGGCATGCTGGGACCTGTAGTCCGTCCCGCGGCTCCAGGAGGAGCCTCCCCGGGGATGCCGCTCCCTGCAAACCCCGCAAACAGCACTGGCTGCTCTGCTCCAGGTGTCCTCTGGCTCTGCTTTCCCCCCAGAATCCCGGACATGCCCCCTGGCAGCTCTTCCACAGTGGGACTGAGGGTCTCAGAGCGTGCAGTCCTGCCTCAAGTGAGGGCACCCCAGGGTGTGCTGGGGGCACATCCCAGCCCGTGGACCTGGGATGGCCGCAGGACCCAGTCCCTCCTAGGGCACAAGCTCTGAGGCATCTCCAGGCCCGCTGGCACCTTGGGGACAGCCAGATCTGACGCCAGCAACATTCCTGCAACCTGCAGGGAGGCTGGCCGGGAGCCACGAGGGCGGTTCCAGGCTCAGCACAGCCAAACCCCCATGCCAGGCACGCGGGGCCGGAGCCATGGCCTGTCACTGATTGTCCCCTGCTCCAGCAGTGCACGCAGCAGGCTGAGGGCTGCCTGGCCCCCACCATCATCCCACGAGTCGCCCCAGCCCTGCTGCCCTTGGGAAGTGCCCTGGGCTCTGCTGGGGCTGCCCGGAAAGCAGCTGTTGTTTTGCTCCTCGCTGGTCCCTGGCATGGGCCGTGGCAGGAAGCAGATCCATATCCCTGAGCAGCGGGGTTGGCTGGAGTCACGGCGCTGAGCTCAGGCAGGATGTTCCCCACTTCCCAGACCAGCAGCTCCTGCTGCCTCGTCCCACAGCTCACTCCTGTGCCGAGCACGGCACGTGAAGCTCCGTGTCCTGCCGAGCTCTGCCGGCAGCCGGGCCCTGGGCCAGGCAAAGCGGGTGCTGAGCGTGGGAACGAGCTTACCAAGGTCACCCTGCCCCACGGATGGACCCCCCACCGCTGCCCCGAGGGTCTCACCGACCGCCCCCAGCCAACAGAAGAACAGGCTCAGGGCAGCACAGGGCTGCAGGGGTTATTTTATTCTTTGCTTTGGTCTATACAAAAACAACTTACAGACATAATAAAACTTTCCATTCCTGACCCACACTCCGGTAGCTGTCCATCCCTTTCCAGCCGGAGTGTTAAACCACCATCAGATCTAGAGCCTCTTTGAAAAAATTGCGTTAGATAAGGGAGGAGGGGACGGAAACACACCACTCACCAAAGAGAAGGGAAACGGGTTAAAATGTGCAACAGAGATCGGTACAAGGACACGGTTCCTAATGCTGGAGTCACTCCTCTATGGGGACTGGCAGGACAGGCAGGGACACAGAGTCAGCTCCCAACGGCTGATGGGAAAGAATTAAACCTCAGACACCCCAACGGCCAAACCGAAGGTCCTGGGACACGGACCCTTTGCTTTCGGCAAACTCTGGATTGGCCCAATGCAGCTGGAGTTGGCAGGAAGCAAAGGGTTTCCCCGTGTTCGATTCCTCTCCTAGAACACTAACACGCAGAACAAATCGGAGGGGAAGTTAGAAAGCACAAACTTAAAGATGGCAAAAGCCGCTGGCACCATATTAAAAATAAAAAAGAAATATATATTCATAGAAAAGACTATTTTGCCAATGAAAGGTCGCTAACGGTGCAGGGTTTGTGTTTTAAAGCTTCAGAAACAGTATCTTGGATGCTGGATGCGGCAGTAGGTGCTCGAAGTAGTCCCAGGAGGAAGGACCTTCTCCACAGACCCACAGCGAAGAAAACAAATTGAAAAACAAAACCCTCTTGTGGGAATGGAAAAGTTTTGTCTTCTCAGGCACTTCTGTCTCCCAAGTCCTTCTCGCGAATGCTCAGCTCTGGGGCCACCCTCTTCTGCGTGGAGAGAACACCTGCGCGGGCAGGGAGCTCCTGTCACCCACCGAGGGGGAATTTGGGATGAGACCAGAGCTCCTGAGCCCACGGGGGACGGGGACATCGACCCACGGCTGCACCAGGGACCCTGGGCACGCCAGGTGCCACCAGCCAGCCCTGCCTCCCCCTGCCCCACCCTGGAGGGTACCTGGTGCGGGGCTGGGCGGGTTAGGCGAGCATGTGGTCAGCGAAGGGCGCCCGGACACCATCGCTGTAGGCATCCATGGGGTAATCCCCGTCCATGTCCATGTGCATGTCGATGGGGTCCAGGGGGATGTCACCCGAGTACATGGGGCGGTAGCCAGGGTCCAGCTCTGCGGGGAAGGGACGTGGCAAACTCAGCTCCTGCCAGCCAGGGACACCTCCAGACCCCAGCCACCTCCTGGTCCCTCTCACCCAGGGCAGCGTGGTGCTGCAAAGGACATGATGGCCACCCGCCACCCCCAGCCCCCAGCCTGGGGGGGCAGCCCAGGCACCCAGGGCAGCAGCTGTTTGTGCTCCCGAGGAGATGAGCATCCCACCGAGTTCCCCCAGCAGGCTGCGCTGGCACTTTACTGGCAGCCACCAGAGAAACGCTTTAAAACCAGCCTGGTTTGGTGAGATGAGACAACTGCCCACCCAGAGCACAGCCCACGGGGACCCCCCGGGGAGGGCTGGCACAGTACTCACCGTCTGAGTAGGGCTCGTTGATGGGGATCATGCTCTGAGCCTATGGAAGAAGGTGGCACAACTGAAGGGACTCGTGTTCACATTTGTGTGATGCTCACGGGTCACTCGGCACCCAGACCCGTCCTGGGCTGCAAGTGCTGTGACCCAGGAGCTGATGCCACAGCCCATCCACCCCGGCCTCCCCACCGTCTGCCCATCGCTCCCATCCGAGCTCCGGTCAGAGGTGCTGGCAGCAGCTTTTGGAAGCAGGACAGGGCCATTCCCAGAGGCTCTTTTTCCCAGGGAAAAGGGCTCGTCGGGATGCTCACCGCCTCCCAGGCTGCCGGGTCGTGCTTGAAGAGGGAGTTGGTGAGCTCCACGGAGACGCGCTTCCTGTAGTCGGGGTTCTTGTCCTCCGAGATGCGGAAGAGCACGGCGGCTGCGTAGGTGGCTGCAGGGAC